CCTAATTAGACCACTAATGGATAATGGCTTCTTCCTAATCTGAACTGATTAGTTGGAGTGAGTGGTATTGTTCCTATTGAAACTAAAACACAGAACTCGGCTTTCTAAATGTCAGAGTGTTATACACTAGGCTATTGAGTCACGATAACCACTTCTAGTAAGATTGTAATAGACATAACACAAAATTAATACCTTTTTTCTTTCTAGGTAGAGCTGCCAGGTAGCAGACTCACGTTGAAGTAAGTTGCACAATACTAATTATGTCATCTGTAACTTACCACCTGAAGTCAATAAATCTCCCCAAAACTAAAAATTGAATTAATCTGGCGCTCATTGTTGACTTGCTTTGGGGATTCCCGAAGTTCCATTCACGGGTCATGACCAGTTAAGATAAACAAAGTCGAACATGACGACAGTTACCCAATGACGGCATTGGATGGAGGTCACGCTATATCGTAGACTGACAGAAGTAGGAAATATGGACCAGTAAATTTCTACCCAGTGGGTCAATAGGAATGTGCTGACCACGGAATGTGAATGTTCTATGTTGGATCCCTGAGATGTGGGGCTATGAGTGGGCACTGTTGAGGAGTATCACAGTAGAACGAAACATCTGTTAAATGCTCCCAGGTTTCCAATGTTTCTCCATCTGTTGTGAATCCATGGTGAATACCAAGCTAAAGCAAATGAAATCTACAAGTGCCAACAAATGAAACTGAGCTGATATTAAGAGATGGGGTTCTCATAGGTAATAGAATACATTGCTTCGTCGATACTAGTCAGTAATAGGTGTATTGCTTGTATTATACCGTCGTTGATTGGACCGAACTGATCGATCTCGATTGGCATATGTGCTCCTGCTCGAATGCTTTGATATTGCCTATGTTTTTAATTATGTAATAATAATGGATAGTGGCTAGTAGTGGAAACTAGGATGCATATTTCGTCCTACTTGGGACTCATCAGGTGGATGTACCTACCTCCAAGTAAGGAGCGATGTTTTTCCCACTGGGGTTCGAACTGGGGACCAATCACTTCAAATACAAGAGCGTTATCCACTAGACCACCGATCCACAATGTTCGCTTCTTGTGCTCGATGGTCTAATGGATAATGCTCTGGTGTTTGAAACGATGGGTCCCCAGTTTGGATATTGGTGGGGACAACATCACTCCTCATTCGGAGGTAGGTACATCCAGCTGATGAATCCCAAATAGAATGACTTGTGCATCCCACATTCTACTGCTAACCACTCTCTATCATTACTTAATAGTCAGTAATGTTGTACAAAATGAGAACGATTACTTATGACTTTGCAGCTTATCATAAGGTAAAGAGAAATAACTATAAAAGGCGTCAACTAGTTAAACAGTTTTGGGTGTAAACTATTAGCGAATTTTCCAAGAATTCTGTCAGTTTAATCTAATTTCAATTCTAGTTTATTTTCATTAAAATAAATACTGATTCCAACCTGACTTTAAAGGTGTTTTAAAAATAAAAGCGAAAATTGGATTCATTCATCCGATTTTACTATTTGTTATCAGTACACTTTAAAATTATAAATTCTTCTTTCATAGAATAACAATAAATATTTGTTTTAATCAAGTAAATAAAAATATAAATTACCATAGTATCAGTTGTGTGCCATTCAAACTAACTTTATAGTTAAGATAATGGGAGTAAAAATGAAATGGAGACAGCTGTTGGATGTTTGTAATATATATTCATCTTTAATAATGTTGCATATTGAAATCCTGAACAAGGCAACAAACTGTGAGGAGCAATGAGATGGTCATACTCTGTTCGACCGATGATAAAACGCCACAAGAAGATTTGGATTTCACCATTGATGATTTATGTTTAATTACCTGTCGCACAAACGTGAAGATCTACAAACGAAAACTAACAAGTTGACAGAAGAGTCGAGGCGGGGCGAGTCGAGGCAGCGAAGATGAGGCTTCCTTCAGGTGAACCTAGAGAAGACGGAGGTGACAGATGAAGATACTACACTACACTCCACTACACTACACTACATTCAGCATAAAGCGTCAACAACATCCGGATTGTCAACACAAATTCAGTCAAGCAAGTCACTGCTTCCATGTAATGGTTGACACACTTGCCGCATCACGAACAGCATTTTCAACAAACTATAGACATACATGACATCAACAGTTGCCACCTACACTCACTCGATACTGACAGTGAAGATGGAGATGGGATGGCCAGAATGATAAGAATGAGGAAGGAGGAAGTGTGGCTGGCTGTCAACGAACCAATCAAGAAGCTATTGCCCAACAGATATGCAGAAGAGAGTGGAGATGAACTGGATTGAACATAGACTGAGAAAGGGATATGGGGACATGACGCGTCAGTCCAGGTAGTCAAGTGGAAGTGGAATGTGAAAGGATGAGTTGTGCGTGTAAGCCGTGGGTGATATTGACGAGGTTGTGTGAGGAAGAAATGCAAGGTTGTAGGGAGTTGCGGAGCGAGGTTGAGAAGACAGAACATAAGTGAGTGAAATGGAGACGTGCTTTTGAAGCTTTATGTTCCGCTAGGAACCCATGAGGCAAATAATAATAATAATAATACAAGGCCAATTAAGTAGATGTAATGTTTGTTCAGTGTTTATTTTTTTCATGTAAATCTGGTCTGACAGTTTTCGGACAGCTGATCGTTAACATTTGTATCTGAAGCATTTACACTGTGTCGATTAACTGAATCAAATAGATATCACGAACAAGTAGTAAAGTTGATCATAGAAAGTGAGAGAAATTCTTGACACCATTAATGATGATGTACCAGTTGCTATGATAGATCAGTACCAATTATCTCTAGGATTATCAGGTATTTTTGTGAGCACGTAACTGATTCACCAACTAAGTCTGAACACCCTGCATTATTGGTGATGATAACAAATGTATTGAACAAGTGAATACTGTTTTTGAATTTTCCTGTGAAAGCACACTTACATTATTATCTAATTACTCTTGCTGAGTACAAACAATTAAAGTACAATGATATGAACATTTTCTCGTGACTATGTCTATGGATTTTATTCTATAAGACCATCGTAGCTTAGCAACCCAACATTAATATATTTCACGTGACGAAGCTTACTCAAATAAATATATATTCTATGACTATGTGAAATAACGACCTTGTTATTAGTGTTTAGTACTGTCATATGTTGTTTTGATAGTTAGATAGTTAGGTTAGTGTATATAAACACGAATTGATGTGTACTTATGTACATATTCGTTAACGGATACACTAGGTATGTGCGGCTGATGAGTAATTACCAACTTCTTAAATATAAACATTGTTTTTCTTTCATAAACATTTATACTTTTGCCGGTTTTACTCATGTTTTGTAAATGTTCAACAGTAGCTCAATTGGTAGGTAGATTATCAGGCCGGAAACCTGTTGGTCGCTGGTTCGAATCCAGCTGCGGTACAAATTTGCATTTCACCTTCGATGATCACCCCAGTTAAAACACTATATGATGATGATGACAATAATAATAAAATGGATGATGACATAAGTACTTGTGATTATGATAACAGTCAAAGTATGAGTGATGACAAGGTAGATTACGTAATATATGGAATGGTTCATAGGAAGGTATATAACTGAGAAAAGGGTGAAAAAATAAGTCAAAATGGTAATCCAATTAAGTATTATGTAATAAGATTAGACAATTTGGTCAAGATGAAATCAAGGTTTCTCAAAAAGAATAAAACAATTAGGTAAAATAACACCGGACACTAATCAAACTGAAGGCAATTACAGTAACAGTCATAAAGGAAGGATACAAAAACGGAGGGGAAACTAATAGAGGTATGAAAATGTTATGACCATGGTGAAAACAGTGACTACTTCCTTTTTTTGAACAAATAAATCAGGTTTTAGTTCATGAATAGCTAAAGCCTTCACTGTTTTAAGGAGTTGAAAACGAAGAGAACATGGGAGATTTTGGAGAATTTGATAAACAACTTTATAGTGATTGACTGGGTTTGTTGGATAATAGAAACCAGCCAAATGTTCTAGAATATAACTCATAACAGACTTCCTTTCATATATAGTAATGATGGGAAGTGGCTAGCAGGGGAATCCAGGATGCGCATTTCGTCCTATTTGGGACTCGTCAGATGAATGTATCTACATTTCAGTGAGTGATGTTGTTCCCACCGGCATTCGGACTCAGGAGAGCGTTATTCACTACACCACCGAGCCACAGGTTAAGTTTTAGTATTGACGATTGTATTATACCGTCGCTGATTGGACCGAATTGATCAGTCTCTTTCAGCATATGGGCTCCAGTGTGGTCCAATCAACGGCGGTGTAATACAAGAAATAACATTAAAACTTCCTTTCAACTTTATAAAATCAAACTGGAACATATTTTTGTATGCGTGTAGAAAGCATTCTCTGGCTACAACCGATTTACCTTGCTCCACAAGAGCAGGTAAACTGATGGACACATATAGATTCCGTATATTGCCTAATCTACCTTGTAACTATTCATTGAAAAGAGTCTCTTCGCAAAACATCTTGTTCTGAACGTTACAACGGAACTTATTCAATGACTGTAAATGCGGTAATCTGTTTTAAAAAACAATGTGATACCTCTTCATCTCGTTTGCAATCTGGGCAGCCTTGATAGGCTGAAACATTGTGCGGACATTTTATGTCCCCAAGTTTGCTTTCGTTTTCATGGAGGGAGATCAGACACATCGGCCAATTGGCTTCGTGAAGGCTTTCACCATCCGGTGTCATTTCGCCTCTCCGATTGCAGCGATGAATAAGTTTGTTTTTATTTTTTATATTTCGTTTGTGCTTTGAAGTTTTTTTAGCGGTTAGATTTGTTTTACGGGGTAGGGTTGCTAGCCCTATGCCCAATCTTCCCTTTTTACCCAAGCTTATGACCGGCTAGTAACTAGTGAACTAGTTAACCAGGCGAGGTTCCTTCTTTTTCATACTACAGATTTATTTTTCTATATGGCTAAAGTTGGCAAGGGCTATCAAATTCCATTATCATGGGTTCCAGCAAAAGGTGGTCCTATCCCAGAAAGAGCAATTAGTATTGCTGATGGTGTCTTTGTTGTTCGATGTCGACATAATGGTCAATGGATTCCTGGAAAGGCTATCAAAGGACACTCTACAAGTTATTATGGAAATGGTGGACAAGAGATACAATGTACAGAATATGAATTTTTGTGTGACAGTAGATTTCCACAATCTAAAAGCTGGTAAATTTTAAGATTTTTATAATGTTATTTTCAACAAATGGTTAATTTTTGGAAACTAGTGTCCAAAAACTCAGGCTTAGATTTCAGTCACAAGTATAAGCTGTTTCTATGTTGGTTGAACTTATGAAGGATGTAAGATAGAGTTTCATTTCTCATGAAAATTTAGTGCATCATATTCAAGAATGTGGATAGTTAAGATGTCAGAGCCCTGAAAGTATTTTGTTCAACTCCAAAAATATGATTTATTTATCCAGGTAACATATTTACAGTCCTGAAACCGTACCCCGTGAATTAGTTTTTCCACATATATAAACTGTGTAGTAGATGTAATCGATTTTACCTATGAATTGGAAAGTAATGAAAGTGAGTTAACAGCAACTTCAGAGTACAGAATAAAACAAAGAAGATTAACTGAATATTAATGTCAACAGAATATCTTCCCGTTCAAATCACCAGTTAGACCTCAAATCATCTGCGGTCAATACCAGATAAAGTGGGCTTGATTAAGTGTCTATGTAACACGGCATAAATCATACACGTAAGACATGGAATTTCAGAGCAGAAAGTAGACACACTCAAGATACCTTGTGTCTCAATAACTGCCTACCTACCTCTCTGGTCTGTTATTTATTTTTATTTGTTTCTTGGGTTCCTAGTGGAACAGAGGGCTTCACCAATAAGTCTTCATTACACTCTCTTCTCTCCAGTCTTCTCAACCTGGCTCCACCAATACCACAAACTTTCACTTCTTCTTCACACAATCTCCTCCATATCACACTCAACTCACACACCCAACTCCTCCTTTCATATTTGGATTCTACTTGACGGCCTAGCCTGACGCCTGATGCGTGATGTCCCCAATCAGCCCCCTCAGTGCATGCCCAATCCATCTCCAATTCCTTCTACTGAACATTTGTTGGGTAATAGATTCTTGGTTGGTTCGTTGTCCGGTCAGAGTTTCTTGTTGCTTACCCTTTCTCGCCATCCGATCTCCAGCAAAGAGCGTAGACAGCTGTTGACGACCTATGTCTGTAGTTTGTTGGAAATGCTTTTCGCATCGCTCCAAGTCTCTCAACCATCACATGGAAGTATTGACTTACTTGAGTGGATTGGTGTTGAAAATCCAGATGTTGTTGACGCTTTATGCTGAGTGCAGTGCAGTAGATCTACACATTGGTTTCAGACTGATGATGGCTTGTTATGCTGTCTTTCCGATCCTGACTGATTTGACATCCTCATCTGTGCTACTGTGTGTAGTTGAGACGATGCTGCTTAGATGGGTGTGTGAAAAAGACAACTTCCTTTTGGTTTCTCCCGTTGATAGTGACTGGTGCATGTTGTTGTTGTTGTTGTTGTTTTGGTGGTGGTGGTTGTGGTGGTCGGCTATCTTCATTTGTCTCCTCCGTGTTCCGTACGTTTACCTGAAGGAAGCCCTATCTTCGCTGCCTCGACTCGCCTCGCGTCGACTCTTCTGTCAACTTGTTAGTTTTCGCCTGTAGATCTTCTCGTTTGTGAAACAGGAAATTAGACATAAATCATCATTGGTGAAATCCAAATCTTCTGGGGTCACCTCATCGGTATAGCCAGCGTATGCCCATCTTCTTACAGCTCCTCACAGTTTGTTGCATGATCCAGTCCGGTCTATTTGACCACAATCCGGAAGGTGATGAGTGGCAGTCGGCATCCTTGTCTCACTCTTCCTATCTTCACTTGAAAGGCATCACTGAGGTTTCTGTTTGGAATCACTCGGCATGTGGCATCTTCATATAGCTGTTCAATGAGGATGATAAATATTTGTGGCACTCCGTGTGGTTGAAGCAGATGCCAAATTTCTTCTCTATTTATTGATCCAATTAGGGAAAATAATTTAGTCTTCCAAATCCCATTGAATAATAGGGACTTTAGAGTGGTCAACCATGGTCAGTTAGTTTGTACTTGCTTGAAACCCTATCCAAATAGAGGTTGATGATTTTAGTATCATAAAGAATTTCGAAAAAAATCGCAGTCACAGCCAAACATACAATTACACACAACCATACAATAGAATGGGATAGGATGAAAATGCTTAAAACTGACACAGTAGGCTGGAGGAAGAGATTGATAACCGAATATTTGTTTATCGAAACAACACCAGATACGTGTATTAGAAGTGATTTAGTACTTGTTCCAGATGTATAGAAAATCCAACTACCTATATCACAAATAAAGGAGGGAGAATTATAATTATTTGAAACATTTCTCAGAATTGTGGAGTTATTTCATATGAATACTGACAGTCAGTTAGATCCAAAACATAATCTAGGATATAATGATCTTTGACGATGTGAAAAATCAAAATGGAATTGCATTCGACCATATTCACCATTATATGAATAAATCTCTTTGATTTACTTAAAGGATATATATGTAAGTTTAGAAGATGAGATTATGGTGAACAAGTAAAGTTGTACCACTTTAAAAAGCAAGTGTTAAATAAAGTAGAACTACTCTGCTCCAATATACTTGGTAACTGACGTCTGTTGCTTATTCTCCACCAGAGTTTGCATCATATCCATGTTGTATTCACTTACTCCTATTACTATTGATTAACGTAAAACTTTATCAGTCAATGTCTTTATTATATCAGATAACAACAGTTGTCACTGAATGGATAAGTTTGATATTCACTGACGATAAATTCAGTGTAGAGAATTAGTATGAAACAAAGAGACAAAGTCAATGTAGAACTTCGTAATCAAGTGCATCGGTTCAATTTGTCACACTTCATAGTAGTTTATAAGGAAGAGTTGGATAGAAAAAAATCGAGATCGAAGTAGAAAAAGTTATGTGACAGAATTATTATTACTACTATTATTATTTATCCCGTGGGTTCCTAATGCAACATAAGGCTTCAGTAGCACGCCTCCATTGCACTCTGTTCTCTGGAGTCTTTTGAACCTGACTCCACGACTACCCATGAGCTCTCATTTCTTCATCACACAATCTCCTCCATATCATCCTCGCCTCAGACGCTCAACTCGTCGTTTCTCATCTGGTGTTCCACTCGAGTGCGTGGCCTGTCGCGTGATGTCCCCAGTTTACCTTCTCAGTGTATCCCCAATCCAATCCAATCCATCTCCACTTCCTTACACTCCATATTTGTTGGGTGATAGACTCTTGGTTGGTTCGTTGTCCGGCCAGAGTTTCTTGTTGCTTATTCTTTCTGGTCATCTGGGCTTCAGTAACGAGCCAGCGTAGGTGGCAGTTGTTGATGAATATCTGTAGTTTGTTAGAAATCCCTTTCGTAACGCGCCAGGTCTCTCAACCATCACATGGATGCGCTGACTTGACTGGATTGTTGTTGAAAATCCGGATGTTGTTAGGGTTTTATACTGAGTGCAGTGCAGTAGATCGCTCCACTGATTTCAGATTAATGGAGGCCTGTCTTGCTTTTCAGATTTTGACTTTGAAGTCCTAGTTCGTGTCGCCTGCAGTTGAAAAGAACTACACGTTTCAAGTTTACCACTCAACTCATGGTCTCAACATCAGATCTGATACTTTAAGAGTTACGTCGTCAATGCTATCTCCTTAGAATTTTATCAAACTCCTTCTTGGTATTTTCACATTTACACTTCAAACAACCACTCTTTTTTTACAGTTATGAATGGCTACCAGAAAAGGGTGGCAGAGTGCCAAAAAACGCTATCGTCGCAGGTATGGTAGGCCTTTCGCCAGTGTATGTCGCCAAAGGAGTTGTAAATGGAAAACAATGTGTTGGAAAGGTAAGTGAATCAGACAGCCTACATCTTATAGAATTCTGCCTAAATTAGCCATGAAAACAAAATCTTCCTTCTAACAAATCTGTTTGTTTTTACGTTATTGCTTGTATTATACCGTCGTTGATTGGACCAAATTGATCGGTCTCTATTGGCATATGGGCTTCTGTGCGGATGCCTTGATATACCTGTGTTGTTTTAAGTATAGTAAAGATGAATAGTGGCTAGCAGTGGAATTTAGGATGCGCATTCCATCCTACATGGGACTCTTCAGCTGCATATATCTGCCTTCCAGTGAGTGGTGTTGTTTCCACTCGGGAAATGTGCATCCTAGATTACATTGCTAGCCACTATCCATCTTTACTATAACTAGAACACAGGTGTATCGAGGCCTCCGTACGGGAGCACATACACCAATAGAGATCGATCAATTCGGTCCAGTCAACGATGGTATGATACAAGCAGTAACAATAAAACTATACCCGTGGCACAAAAAGTGAGTACCGTGGCTCGGTTGTGTAGTGGATAACGCTCTTGCGTTTGAAACAATCTCTCCCGAGTCCGAATCGTGGTGGGAACAACATCACTCACTGAGACGCAGGTACATCCATCTGACGAGTCCACAGTAGGATGAAATGCGCATTCTACATTCCACTGCTAGCCACTATCCATCTTTTCTGTTTGTTTTTATTGTGATGAAGTGTTTAGTAAAATGTTTGTTTGGAATTTAGTGACTAGAGAGAAAAAGAATTAAGGTTCAGTAGCTCATTTCTGTTAACCTTTTTGGTAGGCACTTATTTGTGCCTGACTAGCCATCTGACCGGCGACAGTTATCGTATATTCAACCAATACGTTTATGAATGCCTCACTATGTAAACCACATCTACTTAAATAGAAATTACCCAGTTTCTATTGAGAAAAACAACAAGAATGTAGTTTGGAATAACCACTTTTGGACTGTACTGACATATATTCTTATTGCAGCTAAGTGATACACAACTTACAGGTTGCCTTCAGGAAATTTGCGATCACTATGAACTAAATGTCTATCTTCGGAATACGTTTTTATCGTTAGATAACAAAAAATCAGTGGATCTGGTCTACTCATTTGATTTCTGTTAAATAATCTTTGAATACACAACTTGGTGATGAAAAAAATAATGACCATTGGACCACTAATCGCAGGTAGTTAGGGATGAGAAAAGAAAAAGTGTTAGAATAACAGAGTCATGCATGAAACATTTGAATGAAGACAGGTGACTAACCTATGAAGACCTAAACAAATGGGATTTGTTAAATATCCATTGCTTACAATCCTTGCATAATGGATGATAATGTAACTGGATCCCTGGCAAGGTAAGGGTGTATACTGCTGAGGAGTCCTATACTAGGACGAAACAGTTTTCCAAGTCTCCAAGTTTTCTAATGATTCTCCAGTCAATTTCACTCCATGATGAATATCAACCCGAAATCAAATCAAATCAAATCACAAACCTTCAGTTTAAATAATGCTAGGATTCATTTGGTGACTGGCTTCAAGAGGTAATTCTCAAACTTTCAATAAGAAGTCGTTACCGATGCAGCCAACCAAGTCGAACATAATGACAGTTACTCAGTGACGCCACTGAATGGATTTCGCGCTATTTCGTAGTGGTAACGTGTTAGCTGCGGAATGTGAAGGTTGTGTGTCCACTCCCTTGGGTGCGGGGTCATGAATACGCCCTCCTGAAGAGTCTCATACTAGAATGAAACAGCTTTCAAGTTCTCCCAGGTTTCTAATGTTCGTCGAACTGATATATTATACGATTGGTTAAGATGTTTTGCCATTAGTAGCATTGCACATTCCTGGTTAGAACAAATAAGACAGATGTATTACAAATACTTTTGTTCTACTGTTTGTCTATAAAGCCTTGTTGTTTTATTGTATGCAGAATTTATATCTAACAGAAATAGGAAACTGTAAATCATTCGACATCGACTTGATAGCTGAATGGTTAATGTGTTGCTCGTGGAACCTTAAAGTTATGAATTTGATTCCTAGTGGGGTCATGAGTACTTAAACCGCTTATTTATTTATTATGACTTATCATCGATACGTAAATTTCCTGCAACCCTATAACACCACAAAGGTTTTATTATAAAGGTTACCATTGTCAATTATGAGATTAATGTAGTCAGAAGTTAGCTAACTCAAACAAATTTCATACATGAAGTTTTCATTACAATTTTGAAAAAGTCAAAAACAACTATGGAAGTAGAACAAAAATGTGGATCCATTTCATTTCGGCCATCCTTTATTAAATGCTTATAACTCACAATATCAAAATATTTAACATAAAAGTTAATAAATTAGTTCTTACTATTTATTAATGTGCTTGTTATTCTTCATTGTTTTACTGGATCGAATCCTTCCATCCCTATTCACATATGGACTCCTATTCGAATGCCTCGATATTGCGTAATTGTTTATGACAGTAATTTGCCTGGTTGTGGCTGGTAGAGGAATCTAGGACGTGTATTTCATGCTGTTTGGGACTCGTCAGCTGGACATACCTGTACCTCAGTGCGGAGTGATGTTATTCCCATTGAAACTCGAATCACATATCCATCGCTTAAAGCATCAAGGCGTTATCCACTAGGCTACTGAGGCATGATAGCCACAATCAAGTAGATTATCATAATAAGTATCCAGGTAATATCAACGCATTCACATAGGACTTCATATAACAAATAGAAGTTGAACAATTCAACCCACTAAAATAACCGAAAACTAAAAGCATATAAACAAATAGTATCAGCTAATACCCGTTGTATAAAAGGTGGTTATCGTATCTCAGTGACCTAGTGGATAACGCCCTGGTGTTTGAAGCGATGAGTATTGGGTTCGAGTCTCCGTGGGAACAGCATCACTCCACACTGGTATACAGGTACATCCAACTGACAAGTTCCAAACAGTACAAAACACGCGCCCTAGATTCCTCTGCTAGCTATAACCAAGTAAATTACCACAAGTTAATTCACCTAAAGAAAACAGAATATCAGTCAGTGGTTAAGACCGACAGATATTGTCATACACTGAAGGTCTTTCATAACGTTTAAAATTCAAGAGTGGTTAACAAATTATAAGAAATTGTCACAAATACATATGCAACCCTATAGAAGTGTGTCGAATTAACTTGGTGACAGTAAGTAACAATGTAATACTACAAGACTTTTAAGTGGATCATATGATAAATAAGGAAACTAACAGAAGACTGAATGCATCATTGGTTAGGATTTTTCCTGCAGGCACATCAATTCCTGTGTACCAAACACAGACGTCAAATAATAAGTCAAAAAGTACCCTTCTTATGTTACTTTCTTCTGTGTAGATTAGTTTATGCACAGGTACCGAAGTAGATACACTGGAAAGACACAAGGAAAGGTGTGTCTTACATTTTGTGAACACATTCCGATTAGCCAACAACTTGGATGATGTAACAGTCTGAAAAGTGCAATCACTCGACACCTTTTTGACACTGCAGACATCTTCAACTTCTTCAAGGTTATAAATATACAAACGTGTTCAATTCTGCTAACGCTTTCTGAAGCTATAACCATCAAACGGCTAAGACTTGATTTATGTGTCTTCTCAAAGAAGCTATAGTCAACCTTTGTCTATCTCGTTAACTCTTCTTGACTGTTATTCGACTAAATTGTCCCTTAGTTTCATCGCCTTTTGTTTATAATAAATGGTTTTAATTAATTGGGCTTGATACTATTAGGGTTCACAAACCAGGTTATCCCATTAGACCCAGAATGGACCTCAGAAAAACTTCAAAATATGAACTATCAAAGTACTTGACATCTATATTATGTCCTCTTACGAACCGTTCAAATTTCAGACCAATCAATTCTTACGAGTTAAAACAAAGACTCATTGATCATTGATGAAGAGGATAAAAAAATGGTTAGTTTTGGTGTAACAAGTTGTTATACTAAAATACCAATGAATATGACACTGTAGGCAATCAGATATCAACTAAATATCGACTCATTACTTACTCATAGAACTAAGATATCAGTTGATGAGATCTTATTAGGCGTACAGTTGTACCTGACCTCCACAATCTTCAAGATTCTAGACAAAATATATAGAAGGAGTATACAGAAGGAGTAACAATGGGATCAACGATATTCCCAGTAGTGGAAGATATCGGTTGTTAGGAAAACATAGCTTAAGAGATGTTTAATCCTGCAACTAAGATATGGTGGTGATATGGGGATAACACATTTGCTGTATTGAAATCAGAACGTATCGACAATTTCCTGACACACATAAACTCAGTAGTTGACGCAATCCAATTCACTTATGAGGAGGTAGAAAATGAACAAGGAGACTTATCTATGTTGGAATGTAGGATAAAACGAAGGACATACGGTGGTTTGGATGCTACCGTCTACAGAAAACCGACACATTCCAACTGGTATCTAGACTTCAAGCCATCTCATACAGTTTCAGTTGACGCAGGTTTAATCAGATGTCTAAATGATAGAGCTCGAAAACTGACTAGTCAGTGCAAGAACCTAAACAAGAAACTGAAGCACATAAAAGAAGCACTCATAGTTAATAATTATCCTCTACAGTATGTTAAGTAATTCGTACGCACACATAAGAAACAAAATGACGACAGTAACACGAGTCCGAATAATAACGACATGAGTAGAAAGGAGTTGCCATATAAGGAAGCAACGTCAGAAACTTTTCGTAGGATCCTCAACAAATCCGAAAACTCACTCGGAGATAAGATCTGTCGGATACCTCAAGGTTCCGATTGATCTAGCTAGGCAAAATAACATAACCTATCAAATTCTTTGCAAAGACTATGAGGTCAAGTATATGGGTGAAACTAGCCCTATTGGAATTTAGCTGAATCTAGAAAAACAACTCGGCTATTTCAATGCAAGCATTAACACAATCGCACAATAGGCTAGGCGGGATAAAACCACTGTATTATTATATTTATTATTAGTCCCTTGGGTTCCTAATGGAACATAGGGCTTCAGTAGCACGTCTCCAGTACACTCTGTTCTCTGAGATCTTTTGAACCTGGTCCGACGACAGCCCACAAGCTCTCATTTCCTCCTCGCACGACCTCCTCCATGTCACCCTTGGGACGTCCAACTCGTCGCTTCCCATGGGGATTCCACTCGAGGGCCTGACGTGTGATGTCCCCAGTCGGCCTTCTCAATGTATGCCCAATCCATCTCCACTTCCTCCTGCATATTTATTGCGTGATAGGTTCTTGGTTGGTTCGTTCCCAGAGTTCCTTGTTGCTTATTCTTTCTGGCCATCTGATCTTCAGTAGCGTTTTAGCGTAAGCAATTGTTGATGAATGTCTGTAGTTTATTGGAAATGCCTTTTGTGACGCGCCAAGTCTCTGAACCATACAAGAGCACTGACTTGACGTTGGTGTTGAAAATCCGTATCTTGTTCCACATGTTGAGTGCAGTTTATCTCCACACTGGTTTCAGGCTAATGAACGCCTGTCTTGCTTTTCCAATTCTGACTTTGACATCCTCGTCAGTCCTGCCTGTAGTTGAAACAGTGCTTCCTAGATAAGTGAAGGAGGTTACTTCCTTCAAGTTTCTCCCGTTGACGGTGATTGGAGTTTGTTGTTGTTGTGTGGTGGTGCGGTATCTTCATCACTTCTGTCTTCTCTATATTCACCTGAAGTCCCGTCTTCGCTGTTTTTCCTCTTCTATCAACTTGTTAGTTTTTGCCTGCAGATCTTCAAGTTTGTGTGACATTAGGCATAAGTCATCGGCGAAATCCAAGTCTTCTAGGTTCTTTTCCGTCGTTTTTCCAGCGTATCCCCCTCTTCTCATTTCTCCTCACTGTTTGCTGCATGATCCAGTCCACCACAATCAAGAATATCATGGGGGATAGTAGGCAACGTTGTTTTTTTTTTACTCCTGTCTTCACTTCAAAAGCATCACTCATCTTCCCATTGTGAATTACCTGGCATGTGGCATCTTCATATAGTCGTTGAATGAGGCGGATAAAGGTTTTCGGTACTCCGTAGTATTGAAGCAGCTTCCAAATTACTTCTCGGTCGACGCTGTCAAAGGCCTTCTCAAAGTTGATGAAGTTGAGGCAGAGAGCTGATTGCCATTCTATACTCTGTTCTATGATGATGCGAAGCGTTGCAATTTGGTCTGCACATGATTTGTACTTCCTGATTTTAGCCTGCTTGTTCCGGTCGCAGTTTTGAATCCAGTGCGTCTTTAAGCCTCTCCAGGATGATGCGGCTTAATATTTTGCTTGGGGTGGACAGGAGAGTGATTCCGCTCCAGTTCTTGCAAGCACTGAGGTCTCCTTTCTTCGGCAGTTTGACAAGGTAACCCTTCTTCCAATCGCGAGGTACCTTCTCTTCCTTCCACACCTTCTGCAATATTTTTGTGGTGTGAGCATGTCCGCTGTTGTCTCTGCATCTGTTCTCAGTGCTTCTGACGGGATCCCATCTGGTCCTGCTGCTTTCCCGCATTTCAGTAGCTTTCTGGCGTTCAGGACTTCCATTTTCGTTGGGGGATTTATGTTCACTTGTAATTCAGCGGCTGCAGGTGGTATTTCTGGACGAAGTGCAGGTGTTTTTTTTTATGGTCGATTCAAGAGCTTTTTGAAGTGGTCGACCCATTGTTTCCTCTGTTTCTCTTCTTTGGTAATTAAATTTCCTTCTTCATCTTTTATTGGTTTCATCTGCGTTGATCTCTGCCCAGATAGCAACCTGGTTATTTGATACAATGTCGTCAGGTCTCTCTTACCTGCAGCCTGTTCTGCTTCACTTGCCAGTGTTTCGTAGAAGTGTCTTTTGTCTTTGCGTGCGCTCTTCTTTACTTCTTTGTTCAGTGTTTTATACATTGTGCTGAGTTCCTCTTGTCGTTGAGAGTCCTTGCACTGGTTTATCTTCTGCTTCACCATCCACCTCTCACTGCTCTATCAGCTTCCAGGTATCCGTCGAGATCCATTCCTTGTCTTCTTTCTTCTTCCTTCCTATTACTGTTGTGCAGGTTTCTTTCCACATAGCTTTCCAAGACTTTTAGTGTTCTTCCACACAACCTTCTTCAGGGATGTTGCTCGATGTCTCCCATTTTGTCTTGATGGCTGCCTTGAAGATCTCCTTTGTAGTTTCATCCTTCAGTTTCCGAGTGTTGTACTTGAATTGAGGTCTGTCACCAGCTTCGTTGAAGGCTTTCAACTTGATTTTGAAGGTTCCTTGCACTAGAAAGTAGGTGGTCTGAACCTACATCTGCTCCTCTTCTTGACCTTGTGTTAAGTAGACTGCGTCTCCATTTTCTTGAGATTGAGATAAAGTCGATTTGATTTTTAGTGTGTCCTGGTGTCTGGTGAAATCCATGTCGCTTTGTGGATATCTTTGTGCCTGAACACACTGCCTCCAATCACTAAATCGCTGAATGCGCAGAATTCTGTAAACAATTCTCCATTCTCCTTCATTTCACCTAGCGCTTCTCGACCCATGGATAGTTCTCTTCCTGTGTTGTCTGCTCCCAGTTTGGCATTCATGTCGCCCATCAGAATTTTGATATCGCCAACTGTGGTCTTGTCCAGTGTTGATTGAAGTTGTCTGTAGAAATCCTCCTTTTTCTCTTGCTCTGCATTATTTGTAGGTGCATAACATTGTATGATTGTGATTTTCCTTTCTTCCTTTTGAGTTGAATCTTGCTGTCATGATCCTGGAGGAGATTGGTTCCCATTGCATGAGAGCCTTCGATGTTCTTGAGGACATCATGATAGCCACTCCACAACTCAGTGTGCTCGTGGTTGGCGTCTGGGTGACAATATCGGAGTAGATTATTGATTCTCCAGTTGACAGTTTGGAGAGTCCACTCCCATTCCATCTGCTTTCGCTAAATTCCAAGCACTTCGATGTGATACCTTCTCATCTCGTTTGCAATCTGGGCTGCCTTGCTGGGTTCAAACATCGTACGGACATTCCATGTCCCCACGTTTACTTTCGCTTTCATCGAGGGAGATAAGACACATCGGCTAACTGGCTTCCCGAAGGCTTTCACCAACTGGTGTCATTTCGCCTCTCCGATTCCAGCGGGGAGTAAGTTTGTTTTCATTTTTTATATTTTGTTTGTCTTTGAAGTTTGTTTAGCGGTTAGATTTGTTTTGCGGGGTAGGGTTGCTAGCCCTATGCCCAACCTTCCCTGTTTACCCGGGCTTAGGACCGGCTAGTAACTAGTGAACTAGTTAACCAGGCGAGGTTATAAAACCACTGTACTCCAGTCCAATATAATTGGGTGAAGAGAGAGAAGGAGATTGATTACTGAATCTTTGTTCATTGAATCAACACTGAACATATGTAATAGAAATGACTCAACACGTATACCAAAGATATGGAAAGATTTATTACCACTAATATGATGATGTGAAATGACGATTAATGCTTGAAACTTCATTCAGTAAATAATACTGTATCATTATGTTTTATAAATAAAATGAACAAATCTAATATGGAATTACATTCTACCATAGTTCTCAAGTTTTACACTTATTTTAATGTAACTGAGCCTGACTCACAATATATTTTGATGGCTACCCCCTTTCGTTAGTTATTCTTACTCGAGAAACTTCTATTGCATTATGCATGCATTTGCAGTAACTTGTCACCGTTTATTAAGTCTCCTTTATTCTGCCATTATGAACAGCCTTTACTCTATGACTATATGTGTCCGTGTTAACCTCTGACCGATATTCTGTTTTATTCCAATGAATTATAACATGTTAAATTTTCAGCTAAGATGTCACCCATTTATTCCTACTTCCATTGTTTGTTCTTGCTCTATTCAACCTTCAACAAACTCTGTGTCATTGAAGTCAAAAAGCTATAAGAAGCACTTGTCTTCTCCGAACACATAATGATTTTTAAGCGATACTATGCAGTTGGTGAATTCCAGTTAACTAATGTCCATCAACGGAGGAAACTTAATGGAAGTAGTCTCTTTCGCCTATCTAGGCAGCACTGTCACAACTACAGGCATACAGACGACGACGTCAAAGTCAGCCACGATCCGAAAAACAGCAAGACAGGTGTGCATTAGTCTGAAATCAGTGTGGAGATCTTCTGCACTCAGCATAAAGCCTCAGCAACATCCGGATTTTCAACAGTAATCCAGTCAAGTCAGCGCATCCATGTGATGGTTGAGAGACTTGGCGCGTTACGAAAGGGATTTCCAACAAACTACAGATATTCATCAACAACTGCCACCTACGCTGGCTCGTTACTGAAGCCCAGATGACCAGAAAGAATAAGCAACAAGAAACTCTGGCCGGACAACGAACCAACCAAGATCCTGTCACCCAACAAATATGGAGTGTAAGGAAGTGGAGATGGATTGGATTGGATTGGGGATACACTGAGAAGGCGGATTGGGGACATCATGCGACAGGCCACGCACTTGAGTGGAACCGGGATGGGAAGCGATGAGTTGGGCGTCCCATCTGAGGGTGACATGTAGGAGGTCGTACGAGGAGGAAATGAGGGCTTGTGGGTAGTCGTGAAGCCAGTTTCAAAAGTTTGCAGGGAAGAGAGTGCAATGGAGACTTGCTACTAAAGCGGTATGTTCTACTAGGAACCCAAGGGACAAATAATAATTATGTCCATACTTTCAGGTAGTATTAAGTTTTCTTCATGTCTTTATTTCATTAAGAAATGTGACATTAAGTGGAAGACTATCAGTTTTACATGTGTGACTGCTTATCTCAGTGACAAGAATGACACAGTTATTTGCTTATCATCTCCGTCTAGGTTCATGAAGGTCATACATGTGCTCATCTACCAAGTCATGGAGTGGAGTATCCAGTAGATGAATATGAAGTCTTAGTTTTGAAAAAAAAGAAGAAAGAATGAGCATATCTTCTTGGAACTGAACGTTTTCAGAACACACTGTTTTAACTAACACTAACAATAAGTAGTAGATTAGTTTTCTCCTGTAAAAATGCACTTTTTTTTCTCTAATCGATACTGTGTTGTTTTCTTTTGTTGAAAAAGCAAACAGTTCCGTTGATATGGATATTACCAACTATACTCAGACTACTTTTTCAAGTATTACTTATGGAAGAAATATTGCTTTAGTGTTGATTTCAGTAGTGGGTATATAAATACGTGACATTTTCATCAAATATATATATATATATATATATATATATATATATATATATATATAGTCCAACAGTTTGTAGAAGTGTGCACCCACGACCTTCAGGTTCCGTGGCCATCACGTTACCATCGAGCCACTGGTCCATATTTCCTACTTCTGTAAGCTCACGATATAGCACAACCACTGAGATGGAGAATTCTGGAGCTGTGGGTGATTAATATTCAGTAAGTAATTAATGAAGATATGATGCAATTAAAAGAGGAGGGAAGACTATATGCATACACATGCAAAACGTTGTATACATTTTGCTGAGGTAAAGAAAGGTTGATTACAGTCTCCTTCTGAGTAGATAGATCAGGTTGAAAATGTTTGCTAGCGACAGCTTCTGCATACTGTAATCAACATGGTGTTCTTTGTTTGTTCATTGTCCTGAAGGATTGTAAAACATCTGTTTCATGTCCTGTTTCCATCCGATGCCCGGCGATCGCACTGGTAAACACCTTGGTATCTCTCAGACATAGATTTCTTAGAATATGCTCATAAAATAGAGTAGACAATCTTCTTTCAGTCTGTCCTATGTACTTGCTTCCACGAGTACAGATCAATTGATGTACGCAGTTGGAGGTGATGTGATATGGGTATTTGTCTACTTTTGACTGTGTTATTGAGCATAATTTATTGTAAAGTAAGATCAATCTTCTTCTCAGTGCAACATTTATTCTTCCGTCTATTCTTTAAGATGTCTTATCACCTTTGAATGAATGAAAGTGTCTAAGAGTAAATGAAACACTCAGCAGATATATTTAAACGATAAAACCAAATTGATGAGAAAAAATGTGTTGTCCATATTTGGAGGAGAATTTCGGTAGCGCATGCTTCAAGCAAGCCACCGTAGACCATGGTTCACACACGGTTGAGACAAATTATATCTCTTTGTTGTTTTTTCACAGTACAAAACATGGAACTAAATGTTTTAAATATATTTAGTTGTTAAAGAAAGATAGTTTCAACGAATATTGGATCCCAGGTGGGGTTATGAGTTCTCACTGCTGAAGAATTCCACACTAGGATGAAACAGCTGTCAAATGCTCCCAGGTTTCTTTTGTTCCCCCAACTGATGTCAGTCTACGATGAATAACAACTTGAAATATTCCTAAATCCTCCTACAACCCCTCAAAATTCGTAGAAGTATCCAGACTTACACGTTAACCAATGAATGGTCAGTCAACTTCACAACTGACATAGTGGCTACAAGAACTCAGCTTTTACTCAATAAAATCCATTCAAGTTAGGCTTACGCTAAGAAGTAGCATGCAGCCAGGTAGACACAATCAAAGTAGAAAGTTATACACAAGTGGATTGGTTCAAGTTACCATAATTCACAGTGGTAATACAAAGAACAAGTGAATAGGAAAGTAGACAAGGGTGTATGAGAAGAGAGGGGAATGCTGGTTGTATTGTGTTCACTGAGCTGAGTAGTTTAATCGTGGAGCTTTTACTGTCTTTCTAGACAACAGTATCAGCCCTAACTTCAATGTGAAGTGAGTTTTCAATATCTCTCCATGTGTGATTCAGTAGCTTACCCTGACAAACTGCTACGTGATTGGTTGCTTCCTTTGACTGTCGTGTCATTGACCGACTGCATAGATTTTCCTGTTGGCTGTTCCCTTGCTTCTGCTCTGACCTTCCTGTCGTTTACCATCTTTCTCATTGTTTGATAGATTGAGTCTGTGCCTATACATCTATTGATTGCTGACTGACTGACCTGAATGCCATGCTTCTAGGAATTCTCTGATAATCATTGTGTTTCCTCTCGCTCTCAACCCCCAAGATTTCTACGTTGTCGAAATTAAGTTCATGTTCATAATTATCCACATTCATTGAGGGGAATGATGAAATGTCGTGTGTGACGTTTAATAGCCAATTGGTGTTCATGTAGACGAAGGTGAAGAGGGCGGCCACTTTGTCCCATATAGTGTTGACTACAGTTATTGCAGTTGATTTTGTAAATGATATTTGGTTTGTCTTCTTTGGTTGTTGTATCCTTTGGTCTGTATAATAACGTTTGAAGGGAATTTGTTGGTTTATGAGCCACACCATTTCCATGTGGCCTCAGTAATCTTGTCGTGATCTCTGATGTATTCTTTATGTGCCTTTAGATGATTCGTGTGTTGACTTCACTCTATGACTTCGTAGTCAGTGATGAACAGGATAGACATCTTCTGATATAGTTTCATGAGAAGCCATTCTTCCTTCTCCGTGAAGTTGTTGTACTGCTGTATGTACTCGCTCTTTTGAATAGAGTTTGTACGCAATTAATTTTGTGCGTTGTTGGGTTGTTGCTACTGTAGTTGAGGATTTGATCAGTGTATGCCTGCTTCCTTTACATTTAGGTTTTCAGCTTTCCGGTGTTTGTCCAACTGACTAAAACATCAAGGAATGGTAGTTGGTCGTTTGACTCCTTCATTATGAATATGACGTCATCGAAAACGTTGTTGATCAAACTGTGAGGGTTTTCTATATAATCTTTTTTAATGATGACAAAAGTATCGTCTGCATACGGAATCCAAATTTTTGGTTTAATCACAGGTAGAGTGATGGCTTCCAGTCTCCGTACCACTGCTTCTGAAATTAGTCTGGATATCAGTGATTTCATTGGAGTTCCTCTCATCCGTTTGTATGTCTTGCCATTGAATTGGAAGTATGTTGTCGGTCAATAGTCATAGAGTTCCATCGGACTTGAGTATTGAAGTTTTATGCATTCTCAAAGAATTGTGTTTTCAGTGAGCGGGAGGGACATGATTTTTTGACCTATGGTGGTTCGACTGATGTGTATAATGCTGTGAAATCGAAAGATACCAATTATTTAGCGTTTTCTATATTGATGCCTTTGATCCTCTCTCAGAATTCTGTTAGTGACTTCACAGAATGTTCGCACGAATGAACAAGTTATTTTAGTTTTCTCAAAAGTTCTCTGGATATGTTGTATGTTGGAGTTCCTGAAAGTAAGAGTGTTGGTAGCAGAAGGATGTCCAGTTTGTGTATGTTTGGTCGGTCACAAATGTCATAGCGACTATCAGGGTTACACTTCGTGAATAGATGCCATCAAAGTTTCGAGCATTCTAAATCTCTGTCCCCACTGGACATTATGCAGTAAAATATATTTGAGTGTAGAGTGTCATATTGATCTTGGTGACTAGCAGAGGGATCCAGGACACGCTTTTCTCCCCATTTAGGACTAGTCGGTTGGATGTACTCGCACCCCTATGGTTGATGTTGTTACCACTGAGGCTCGAACCCAATACCCATCGCTTCAAACGCCACAGCATTATCCACTGATGCCACTTGGGTAAGTTAGCCACCACTTGTGCAACGGATGTCAAATGTTGCAATGATACTTGCAATTTTACGTTGCTATACAGGGTCGAATCGCTCGAACTCTTTTGGCAGATGGGATCCAATGCGACTGCCTCGATATTGATGGATATTAATGATGTTATATAGGTCTTGGTGACAAGCATAAGAATTCAGGACCCTTATCTGCCAACAGGACCAGAATAGGCTGGATTGAGGAAGTACCAATCATGTGCGGATCAAATTGCGACGGTGAGCTACGCATCATCATTGAACAGAGCGTAGAACGTCAGTCAACTCAGCTCTACCTCAACTTCATCCACTTTGAAAGGGCTTCGACAGCGTATACCGACAAGTGATTTGGAAACTGCATCAACGCTACGGAATACCTTTATAAACCTCATTCAACAACTATATGAAAACGACACATGCCGAGTGATTCACAGTGGGAAGCTCAGTGATGCCTCACAAGTGAAGACAGGAAGGGGTAAGACAAGGCTGCCTACTACCACACATGATATTCCTGATTGTCGTCGTCTGGATCATGCAGCAAACAGTGAGGAGCGAGAAGATGGACATACACTGGCTGAACCGATGAGGTGACCCCAGAAGAAGATTTGGATTTCACCAATGATGATTTATGTCTAATTTCCTATCGCACAAACGCGAAGATCTACAGTCGAAAACTAACAAGTTGACAGAAGAGTCGACGCGAGGTGAGGCGAGGCGAGTCGAGGCAGCGAAGATGGGACTTCCTTCAGGTGAACGTATAGAAGACAGAGATGATGAAGATACCCAACCAACAACAGGCAGCAATCAGCATGAACGGAATAAATCTGAAGGAAGTTGTCTCTTTCACCTACCCACCTAGGCAGCATAGTTTCAGCTACAGGCGGCAGCGGCGCAAATGAGCACGTCAAAGCCAGGGTCGGAAAGACAGCAAGATAGGCCTCCCTTCATTTACCTGAATTAATCAGTGAGAAGATCTACTGCACCGCACTCCACTCCACTCAGCATAAAGCGTCAACAACATCCGGATTCTCAACACAAATTCAGTCAAGCAAGTCACTGCTTCCATGTGATGGTTGACACACTTGGTGCATCACGAACAGCATTTTCAACAAAGGTCAGACATACATGACATCAACAGTTGCCACCTACACTCACTCGATACTGACAGTGAAGATGGAGATGAGATGGCCAGAATGATAAGAATGGGGAAGGAGGAAGTGTGGCTGGCTGGCTGGCTGGCCGGCAACGAACCAACCAAGAAGCTATTGCCCAACAAATATGCAGAAGAGAGTGGAGATGAACTGGATTGAACATAGACTGAGAAGACGATTTGGAGACATCAGGCGTCAGTCCAGATCGTCGAGTGGAAACGGATTGGGAAAAG